CTTTCCCAGCCTCCGCCCAGCTTTCCCAGCCTCCTCCCAGTTTTCCCAGCCTCCTCCCAGCGTTCCCAGCCTCCTCCCAGTGTTCCCAGCCTCCTCCCAGTGTTCCCAGCCTCCTCCCAGTGTTCCCAGCCTCCTCCCAGCCTGGCAGAACCAGCCCTGCAGCCGCCGAGGGGGGATTCGGTGCTTTTCCCTGAGGTCACTGGGAGATTGTGCCGGGAACACAAAGGTCCTTTCAGGGCCATTGTGTGCTCTGCTCGGCACCTTTTCCCCCCGGGATTCCTGCTCCGCCTGCCCCGGGTTATTTATCCTGCTAAAAATCAAGATTTATTCTCCCCGGGTGGATGTTCCGAGGGCCCATCTGAGCGGGGCCGGGCGGTTAATGCGTTCGAGTGTGTCCCTCTCACCTTCCCCATGAATGGGGATTTTTAACCCTTTGCCCTTTTCCATTTCCCACCTCCCCACGGCCGGGAAGGGTTTTCCAGCCTCTCAAGTGCCCATTGTTCCCAGCTCAGCCCCTTTGTGGCTCCTCCCTCGCAAAAAAAACAGGAGAAACAGCAGCTGCACCAGCCGCAGCGCTGGGGCTGGGGCTCTGCCTGCTCCCCCTGCCTGGTTTGGGGGCTCTTTGTCCCCATTTTGGGCCTCTCTTTGTCCCTATTTTGAGCCTCTCTTTGTCCCCGTTCTGGGCCTCTCTTTGTCCCCATTTTGGGGGCTTTTTGTCCCCATTTTGGGGCAGTTTGTCCCCCGTTTTGGGGCTCCCTTTGTCCCAGTGCTGGAAGAAAAACCTCATCCCTCCCTTGAGCTCACACGGGGTCGGGAGGATCCCAGAGCTGCCCAGCCCCAGCCTTGGTACCCACCCCAAATCCTCAATTAACTGATGTACAAGATGGGCCAGAACTTTGTTCATCTGTTTCTTTTTTGGGGGGGGAGGTGCTGATTTTATTATTTTGTTTCTCCTGAAATTCCTCTTTGCAGGCAAAGAAGAGGAAACGAGCAGAACGTTTCGGGATCGTCTGAGTCCCAGGCCCTCCCGCCCGGCGCCGTGTGCCCCTCTCCCCTCCCTGTCCCCCCCTCCCCTCTCCTTTCCCTGTCCCCCCTCTCCTTTCCCTGTCCCCCCTCTCCCCTCCCTGTCCCCCCTTTTTCCCAACACGGTTCCCCTGGGGTTTAGGGATGAGCAGACAGGGAATCTCCTCTGGGTTTTCTGATCATGCCACGTTTTGTTTGTTTGTTTTTTTAGGGTCGGTTGGTTTGTTTGGGTTTTGTTTTGGTTTTTTTTCCCTGAGTTACAAAGTTGAAAACAATGAAGAAAAGTTGAGCAAAAAAGAAGGAAGTTTTTTGGGAGCTTCCCTGGCTCTGGAGGGTTTGGTGCCCTGGGAACTGAGCTCTGCCCAGGGAATAAACCCCCAAGGGAGGGAAGGTGTTGGGGAGAGGAGCAGGAGCAGGGATTGCTCTGCCCTTGGTGGCTGCTTAGCAGGGAAGGGCCTTCCCTCCTGCTTCCCAGGGATTCCCATCGTGGTACAGGTGGTTCCACAGCCCCTGTCCTGCCCTGTGGGGACCAGCAGAGCCAGGATTCCTGGTTGGCCCTGGAGCAGGAGCTGTGTCCCATCCCTGGGGAGCAGGAGTCTTGTCTCATCCCAGGAAGCTCGGAGCTTCCTCCCTCTCCCCCACGAGCTGTCCCAGGACTTCTCTCCTCCCTCTTTGCCACCAAGCTGGTTCCTCCAGCAGAACTTTGGTCACTCCCAACCCCCCAGGAGCCCTGGAATATCCCAGCCCCGTGCCTGGAGCTCAGAAGCTCTCGGTGGCTCCTCAAGGATGTGGCTCCTCCTGCCACTTTATCCCTGAGCCTTGAGGGGAAACCACAGGGAATGTGGCTGAGTCCCCAGGTCGGTGCAGCTGCCCCAGCCTGGGAGGGGCCTCGGGGACCCCGGGGTCTGTCTGGGCTCTGGGTGGGCGTCGTGGCTGAGCCCCCACCCTGGGCAGGACACCCAGGTCCCTGAATTCCCGTTTCCGTCCGTAGCCTCGTACCGGGAATGTTTTCCTTGTCTGTGCTTCAGGTGCAGGGGGGGAGCAAACCCAGCTCTTCCAAGGCCTGGACAAGCCTTAAGCACCAGGAATTCACGGGTCTGGGCTGAGTGGAGCAGCCCCCAAACTGCTCCTGCTCCTGCTCCTGCTCCTGCTCCTGCTCCTCCTCCTCCTCCTCCTCCTCCTCCTGCTCCATCCCTGTCCCAGCAATTCCTGGGATGTTTCTCCCTTCCCAAAGTCCCAGGGGGTCTGGGCTGCAGTGGAATGAGGAGCAGCTCCCTCCTGCTTTCCTGGGGTCACGTTTTTCTGGTTTGTTTTTTTTTTAATGGTTTTGTTTTTGTACGTGGGTTTTGTAGCTGTTTTCTATCAGCTTCTGGTTCCGCTCGATCCGTCGGACGTTCCGGGGCCGACGCGGCGGCTCCTGCTCCGTTTCATAATAAAACTCCTTCTCTGAGGCCATCCCAGGATCTGTGGGGCTGGAGCTGGGGATGGAGCTGGGATGGAGCTGGGATGGGGCTGGGGGTGGGGCTGGGGGTGGTGGTGGGCTGGTTCCTCCACTTCCTGCATCAGGAAGTTATCATCGATGCACTGCAAGAGCCTTCTGGACTGAGTATGCCTATCTGTGTGGGCTTTCCAACAAATATCAGGGTGATTGAAGTCACTCACGAGTGTTAAGGCATATGATCTAGAGGCTACTTCCAGTTGACTTTAGAAGGCCTCATCAACATCTTCTTCTGGGTTTGGTGGTCTATAGTAGACACCCATAACAGTTTCACCTCCAATTGCATGACCCTTAATTCTTACCCACCAGCTCATCTCCCAGAAAAACGACATCCACATCCTCCCCCCGTCCCTCCCTCTCCTTGAGGATGATTTTCCCTTGGCCGTGGCACCAATATCATGGAATTGCTCAGGTGGGAAAAGCCTTTGGAGCCCCTCGAGTGGAGGGACGGGGCTGACGAGCTCTGCTCCCTCCTGCTCCGGGCAGATGCTCCCGTGTCCCCCCGGGAAGGCTCCGGAGCCGTTTCCCTGCCCACTTGGCACCTCTCCCCTCACACCGTGGGGAAAACTCCACCTAATTTATTTTTCTCTCCCAGCCTGGAGCTGCTCGTGACTAATTTGGGCTGAATAGGAGGAGAAAAAAAAAGCGGCGGGTGCACAATGAGCGGGAGCAAAGTGTGGGAAAGAGCCGGGAAGAAAAGGGGCTCCGGGGCGGGAAGCGCCGAGCGGTGCCCGTGGGGCCACTTGTCACCGGGGCTGGAGGTGCCAGGGGGACCAGGGGGGGACAGGAGGGACAAAGTGGGGCTGGATGCTGGGGGGGGGTGTGGGGGGGCCCACCAGGCCTGCGTGTCCCTTCTTCCAGCTGCATCTCCCAGTGGCCTCTTGCCCCTGGATCCTCCCCAGGGGTTGGAAATGGGGAATGTTCAAGTTCAGTGAAATCGAGGAGATGGAAGAGGCTGGAAATATGGGGGGAGCTCAAAGGGGGGTGGCACTGACCCCCACTGGAGCCCTGGGGTGTTCCCGGTGTCCATCCCACCAGGAACGCGGGGCAGGGTCTGGGATGTGCTGGATCAGTGGCAGGACTGGGTCCCACTGGGGTTCCCATTGGCCCTGGAGCTCTTTCCTTCCCTCTCTGCTCTCTCCAAGCGTCGCCCTTCCCGCTGCTCCCATCCCGCAGGAGCAGCCTCCCTTCCCGGGAAGCAGGAGCTGTGTCTGGTCACTCCCTCCACCCCTGGAATTGCAGGGCAGAGGTGGCTCCATGGGGGACATCACTGGTGGATGGGGATTGGGACACGTCAGCCTGTTGCTGGAGCCTGGGAGGGTTTGGGAATCTCTGGGATCAAGCAAAATCCCATCCCCAGGGCTGAGCTGGTCCCTGGGCACGACCCGGTGGCATCTGGAGTGTGCCCAGTGCTCCTGGGGGGTTGTCCTGGCTCTGGGATCTTCTTCCTGGCTCTGGGATCTTCATCCTGGCTCTGGGATCATCTTCCTGGCTCTGGGATCAGTGTCCTGGCTCTGGGATCTTCATCCTGGCTCTGGGATCATCTTCCTGGCTCTGGGATCAGGGTCCTGGCTCTGGGATCTTCATCCTGGCTCTG